TGGCAAAGGAACCTAGTCTGAAATTCACCAGCATTGAGCGTGCTCCCATACATACTGGTGTAGAAGGTACAGGAGGCACAGGGCTGTGTGCAGCAGTGAAGGCATAGATTTCAGTGCTGAGGATGTGTGGATTATCTCTGAGATGCAAAACCCATCCCTCTGCCTTGCCCAAATGCATGCTGGCTATTCATTACCTGTGACAATCTTGCATGCTTATCTAGCGCTTCCATCTGCAAAGCGCTTCTCCAAAACAGCAATAGTGTGCTGCAGTAATAAAGCTTTCTGTGCTGAGGCATCTCCACTGGCTGAGCTCTTTAAAGACAAAGTGGATCAGCTGTCATGTCTGAGCCAGTTCTCAGAAACCTCTTTGTCACATGGGAGACAGAGCTTCACCTTGAGGGTGCTGGTTTCAGCCTGGGTCCAGCTTGTGGGAATGCAAGGAATCAGGATAGGAGTCCATGGGAGGGCTCACTAACCTCCAGAGCTGTACTTAGTTTCAGTGCCAGTATCTTTGAATCTAGCACCTCACCAGCTGCCTGCCTCAGGTACCAGGTGTTCTGTATTTCAGCCCTCTACCTAAGTTGCCTTGACACCACCTAGGCTATCATGAACATGTCCAAACAAAAATTAATAGTTTTTCCCTCTTGGGCTACTAAAATCTCTTCCCTACTTACAGACCCTATCTCAGGGCTTTCCTGTCAGGAGCCGATACTGTTCCTGTAGAATACTCCTTCCAGTCTGTCTTTGTAACCTAACCATGGGCTACTCTCAGCCAGAGGCTTTTTTCCTCTGGTGTTTCTCCCCCAGATGAGCTTCCTCATTCTGTTATGTCTTCGCTCTGCATCCCCTGACTGGAAATCAGCTAGCTACCCACTTCCCTGGGTGCAAAGCATGACACATTGGGTGCATTCGCTAGGCTTGTGTGTGATGGCTGTTAAGCTCCATCGCAGAGCCCTTTACTCTCTAGTGGATGGTGACTCTAACCCAGCCCCATGTCAAGGGACTGACTAGAATGGAAAACCTCTCAAAAAGAAACTCAAGGAGCTTGACTCCTTTGACTTAATTAAACAAAAGCTGATGAGAGAGGTGATTGCTTTTTACAAATACATCAGAGGGATATGTGTGAGAGAAGGAGTTATTTAAGTTAAGCACCAGTGTCCCAAGAACAAATGGATATAAACTAGGCTTCAACAAGGTTAGCTTGAAATTTGGTGATGTTTTCTAACCATCAGAAGTTTGCTGTCTGGGTCTGCTAGCAGCAAATATCTCCAACAGCTGGTGATGGGACATTAGATGGGGATGGCTGTGAGATTCTTACCAGTAATACTTTCCTAGGTGTCTGGGTGGTGAGTTCTACATCCATGCTCAGTGTCTGATTGCCATGTTTGGAATCGGAAAGGAATTTTCCCAGGACAGATTAGAAGAGACCGATCTGGGGTGGTTTTGTGTGTGCACCTGTGCATGCATCTTCCTCTGCAGCACAGGGAATTGGCTACTTTAGTCTAATTGGCCAGATTTAATCTAGCATAAATGATGGGCTCTCTTCTGTAACTGGAGATCTTTAAACTGTGAAATAAGTGAGCTTGAGTCTGAAGAAGTGGGTTTTGCCCATGAAAGCTCATGATACGATATATAGTTCTGTTAGTGTCTTAACACAGGACTGTTTGTTATTTTTAAAGTTACAGACTAACATGACCAGGGCTCACCAAGCGGCGGCGAGCCCCACTCGCCAGCCATACAGAACTGCACGCTGCGCATGTGCAGCCTGTGCTGCTAAAATCTACTTGCCATGGGCAAGTAGGTTACATTAAAAGTCTCAGATGGGGTAGTCATGTTCAGGGCTCGACATTTAAACTGTGATGTGAGGACTTCAGTAATTCAGCCAGAGGTTAGGGGTCTATTACAGCCATCAGTGAGTGAGGTTCTGTAGCCTCTGCTGTGGGGGAGGTCAAACCAGAGGATCACAATGGTCCTGTTCTTAACATCTGTGAGTCTAACTGATATAGTTTGATTGCCTCATTCTGCAGCTCACTATAGCAAAACAAGAAACACAGTGCCTACTTGTTTATATGCCTGTTTACAGTGTGAAGGAAAAAAAGCTGTGTGGTCATGGGGAACTTTAATTTGAATGATGTGCTGGAGTTCTCTTGTCAGTATTAAAATATTCATGGAATTTTTATACATTATAGATGACAATTTCTTAACTCAAAAAGTGCTGCAGCCAACATTGAGGAAATTCTTTATTAGATCTTCTAACTACAGCTAAAGAGGAATTGATCACAGAACTAAAAATTAACAGTTGCTCAGGTACAAGTGATCATGATAACCACATTTCTAATTTGCAAGCAGAATAAAGTGTAGACCAGTAATTAATTATTTACATGCACGCCTTCCCACATAAACACACAAACCTGTGGAGCGTCCACGCCTCAACTGCGCTTTTGCACAAGTAAATCAACAGTAAAAGGGCAGAAGAGAGGGCTTTTGCTAGTGTAGATAAATCTTTTTTTATGAGGCATAACTCCTTTTTGCGCTACAGCTATTGTGCAAAAAGGCAAGTGTGGATGCTCCAGAGGGGAAAAAGCACATGTACTGTGATGGCCATTCACAGAATGGACAATCGGAGCTTTCTTGCACAAGAACGTCCATGCGGTGTGGATGCTCTCTTGCGCAAAAGCACATCACTTTTGTGATGTGCTTTGAAGTGTGGACATGCTCTTGCACCAGAAGTTTTTGTGCAAAAACTCTTGCGCAAAAGACTTCTTGCACAAGAAGCATGTAGTGTAGACATAGCCACACAGTGCATTAGTGGGGCTAATTTCACAAAGCTGAAAACAAATTAGGAAGAATTTAATCAGAAAAATGTGATGGGTAGTTGGGACTAATTTAAAAACACTTTACTAGATGCCCTAAAACCTATGGCTGTGTCTAGACTGGAATGATTTTGCACAAAAGCGCTTGCTTTTGCGCAAAATCTTGCCGCCTGTCTTCACTGGCCGCGAGTATTTGCGCAAGAATACTGACTTTGTAATGTAAAAAATCAGTGGTTCTTGCGCAAATACTCTTACACTCCCGCTCAGGCCAGTGTAGTGTAGAATGGCCAGTGTAGACAGCAACGTTAATTTCTTGCGCAAGAAAGTGTCTACGCTGCCACGGATGCTTTTGTGCAAAGGCACATGCCAGTATAGACGCTCTCTTGCGCAAATACTTTTAACGGAAAAACTTTTCCATTAAAAGTATTTGCGCAAAATCATGCCAGTCTAGACGCAGCCTGTGATTCACAATCAAGAAAGAGAAGCCATGCTAATTGAAAAAGCATCCTGGTTCAGAAGGGTAGTGAAGGCAGCTGTAAAAAATAAATACCACAAAGAAAGGGACAATTGATAGTAATTAATATAAATCAGATGTTAGAAATTGTAGAAAATTGATGCAGAAAGCTAAGGGATGCAAGAAAACATCTGTGACCAGCAGAGTTAAAGAACAGTGAGAAGGAATTTTTAAAATATATTAGGAACAAATAGAATTCTGCCAGCGGAGTTGATCTATTACTAAATGGAAATGGTAGACTTATCAATAATCAGAAAAAGCAAAAGTTTCCAATAAATAAACCTGTTCTGTATTTGAGGAAAAGATGATGCAGTTTCATATTGTGAAAATGCTTTTTTCCATTCCATTAGTATTGCTGGAGGATGTTAAAAGAACGTACTATAGTTAGATACTTTTCATTCAACAGATGCAGATAAATGGCATCCAAGAATTTTAGAAAGATGGCTGAGAAGCTGGACTGTTAATGTTGATTTTCATTCAATCTTGAAGCCGTGGGGAAGTTTTGGAATGCACCAGTTTTAAAAAAGGATAAACAGAATGACCAGGTAATTATAGGCCTGTCAGCCTGATATCGATTCCTGGCAAGATAATGGAGTGGCTGATACGGGACTTTATTAATAAGGAACTAAAGAAGGGGAATGTGATTAATGCAAATCAACATGAACGACAAGCAAGGTCTTGGAAGACAGGAGAAGTGCTAACATAGTTTCCAACCCTGTCCACCCCGTTCAGTCCACTGCACCTTTTGGGGTTGACTATTTGCTTTTTGGTTACTGGCAGAGGGTAGTCCCGTACCGCACTCACTTTGTCCACTAAGGGATTCAGTCGCCTGCCTCCCACGCTATATCCCAGGTAGGATACTTCCCAGCATCCAAACCTGCATTTCTTCAGGTTCGCTGTCGAGCCCGCTTTCACCAGGGTCTCGAGTATAGCATGTATGTGCTGCAAGTGCTGGTCCCATGTCGTGCTGAAGATGTCATCAATATAAGCGACAGTGTACAGCTGGTGTTCACGCAATACCTGGTCCATTAGTCTCTGGAACGTTGCGGCTGCGCCATGAAGTCCGAATGGCATAGTTATAAATTAATACAGTCCAAATGGGGTCACGAAGGCTGTTTTTTCTCTTGCCTCGGGGCTTAACGGGATTTGCCAATACCCCTTGTAAGATCGATTGTGGAGAAGTGCTGAGCCTCTCAGATTCACTCTAGGAGTTAATCTACCTGGGGCATGGGGTAGGCATCAAATCGGAAGATGGCATTCACTCCTCGAAAATCTATACAAAACCGTGGTTTTTTATCTGCCTTTGGTACTAACACTATTGGGCTCCGCCAGTCACTGCGCGACTCCACCCCCCCCCACTGCAACATCATCTGCAGCTCCTGTCTCACATCTTGGGCAAGGGCCTGAGGGTGCTACGGCCCCTCCTCCCCGGTTCCGTGTGTATTTCATGAATTGCGAGGGTGGTCTTACGCGGGCAGCTGGTCAATATGTGGGAGAATGCCTGCAGCAACTGCCCCACCTCCTTTCTCTGACCGGGTGTCAGCTCCCTTTCTATGTGGGGCTCCTCTTCCGGTTCACACCACGGGCCCAAGTCCAACTCAGGGGGGCGGGGGGGCTGAGGGTCCATGAAGAGAGGTTCTTGAGGTTTCTATCTCTT